GCAGGGAAAGGGCAGGAGGGCTGCAGAATTGCACTGTCCCATTCATGTAGGCCAACGCCATGCCCTGCAGCACTGATCTCCAAACCATCCTCATGGATGCCAGAGACAAATGTCTTCTGGGTGCTCTTCACTCTCTGTGCAGTTATGAAGCTTTAAAATGAAGCCAGCAGGAAAACTGACAGCCCCCATCACACACACATAGCCTGGGAAAGGCACAGACATGAACACAACCCTGTTATTAGCCATCAGAGAATCTGCACAGGTGAGCACCAGTGGGGAAACCATGCATCCCCTGAAGGCAGAAACTTTGTCTGCTAATGTGTTTGACTTTCTGTCCTTAACGGTTCTGCCTGTAACCTGCTGGCAAATCCTTCTGGGAAGAGAGTGGGAACATCTACAGAGACTGTGAGAGCCCCAGCAACTGGAGCTGCAGGGCTGCCAGGATGCTGGGGGGTGACCAGGACTTTGCAAGGGACAAACTCGCACATGTAAGGAACATACCCAGGCAGTGCTGGGAGAGGCGGTGATGGATTGATGGTTGGCCTAGATGATCTTAGAGGTCTTTTCCATCCTTCATGATTCTATTATATCTCATCTCCTCTCTTCTTTTCCTCCTGCTATCCACTCTGTGCCTATCACCACTACTAAAGGAGACGTCAGGGTGTTTGAGCCGTGGGGTAGGGTGAGGGACATGCCAGGATATGTGAGGGACAAGCCCAGGCAATGCCTGGGTGATGACTCAGTCAACTCCTAAAGAGCCCAGAACAGTGTCTGTGCCATTCAGTCACAGAAGGGTCCTGCTGTCACCATTTTGGTTTGGTTGGTGTCTGGTGTCTCAACCAGTTCTGGACTGGAGCCAACTACAGCCCTTCCCTGGGTTTGGGCTGGACAGGTGTCTGTGTCCTGCCAAACCTGCTGAGATTCCCTGTCTCTAGGACAGGCTCCATGCACACTTCCCAGGCATTGTGTGGGGTCTCGGGGACAACACACTGAGAACTGGCAGCTCCATGCCTGCACAAGCAGTGAGAAAATGTCTTGGGAGGGTCTGCATCCCACAAGCAATACTTGCTTTCAGTCTCCCAGTGCAGAAACGGTGCCAGAGTCCACGATGAAGCTGCTGAGAAAAAAAGCTACAGCCCCTGCATTGGCCAGGGGAAGCAAGGACACGGGGAACACACGGCTGTGAGCAGGATAAAGGCTGCAGTGCTGCCTCTCCAGCTGCCCTTTGGATGAGGAACCCTGTCGAAGTGTGGCACTTCTGCAGGCTGGCAGGAACTGAGGGTGCCCAGCACCACATTCAGGCAGATCGTGAAGAAACACTCCCTCCTCCATCGCAGGCTCGAGCTCAGCTCATCCCTCCTTCCTGCAGACCTCAGAAGCAGGCACTTGAGCCTCCCGTGTGCCTGCCGATCTCAGGCCTGGGCGACTGCAGCAAGTTGGGAGGAGTAGAGCACAAAAGTTGGGAAACAGCGTCGGACCGTGACGAAGCCCCGCGTCTGAGTTTCTGAGGGCTGGGGAACTTCGGTCAATAGGGACCGGCGCACAGTCAGCCCGCATCTGCAGCCAAGCACAGCCGAGCATCCCCAGCTGCCTCCAGAAACAGCGCGGGCTGGCTGCCGTTTTACTTCGCCCTGCAGCTCAGACTCCAGCAGCCAGCACCAGCAGCAAATAACGCTAAGCAGGACGCAGAGCAGCCCTGCCCGCTACCCCGGGCTCGCCCCGCAGCAAGCTCCCGCCCGCCCCTCAGCCCCGCGGGCAGGGTCCCCCTCCGCACCCACCTCCTGGGCACCGGCTTCTTTCTCTTCCTCCCGGCGTACATCTCGCCGGCAGCACCGAGCACCGCCGGCAGCGCCCGAAGGAGGAGTTTAAATGGGAGTGAAGCGGGGCGGCCCCGGTCCCAAGCCGTCCCTCCGTGGCTCTGCCCAGCCCGGGTGCCCGGACAGCCCGCAAGGCTTTCCCTGCTTCTTGGCCGCCGTGTCCCTCTTGCGACCACCCTACTCCCTTAGCAGCTGGTGGAGAGGGGTTGTAGTCATAAAAGCATAGAACCATACAGTCACAGAATTGTTAAAGTTGGAAAAGACCTTCTAGACCATCAGGTCCAACAGTCAGCCTGTCCCACCGTGGCAGCACATGCCCACCATGCCCACCATGACAGCTGGAGGCACTTCAAAGTCACACTTCAGAGTGTGGAGGTGACATGCAGCCACTGGCAGAGATGAAAGCCTGAGTGGAAAGTTACCCTGAGCAGCACGTGCTATTTGATTGCTCTGTCCTGGGAGACCCTTTTGACCCTCCCCATCCTCCTGCCTTCCTCTCCAGGACAAGGAACTCCTGCAGTCACTAAATGCCATCACCAAACAGCGAGTGTGACTTGCAGGCAATGTGGGAACAGCTCTCCTACTCTCATGCATGTACAGAGGAATGCAGGATGGCAGTTGGTTACATCCCTGGTCAAATTAAGGTGATATGACGCTCGGGATTCATACGTAAGAGAAAATAAAATAGAATTTTAACAGGGGATTTCTGCTCTCCCACAATTATAGGAATGTTATAGGAAATTCAAGTAAGCTTTGCGATACTTAACAACTTCAAGAGAAAGAGAAGAAAGGAAAAGAGAGAAAGAGAAATGAAAGGAGGTAGATAGATCACCAGTCCTGGTCTCAGCCCCTATGAGTAGTACCAGAACAAAAGGGGAAGGGATGCTCTCCCCAGCCCCTGTTTGAATTGTAGTTGGCTCCAGTCCAGGACTGGTTGAGACACCAGACACCAACCAAACCAAAATGGTGTCATTTCTTTGCCAAGTGCTGAGTGTTGTTTTGTTTTCTGTTATGCAATCTTTTAAAAACTAAGCAACAGGTATTAGCTAAACCACAGCAGCAAAGATGGGGAAGGCAGTGTGGGCGAGAGATTATAAAATAATTAGGAAGTCCGTCTACCACCACTCCAGCAAGCCCCTAGAGTCATTTGAGTTGGAAGGGACCTTTAAAGGTCATTTGGTCCAACTCCCCTGCAAAGAACAGGGAAATTTACAGCTAGATCAAGTTGTTCAGAGCCCTGTCCAGCCTGACCGTGGATGTCTCCAGGGATGGGACATTCGCCAGCTTTCTGGGCAACTTCTCCCTTACATCCAATCTAAATCTCTTCCCTTTTCAGTTTGAAATCATCTCCCCTTGTTCCGTTACAACAGACCCTGTTAAAGAGTCTGTCCCCTTATTTCTCATCCCCTTTAGATACTGAAAGGCTGCCATCCAGTCTCCCAGGAGCCTTCTCTTTTGTGGGTTGAAAAGTTATCAGCAGGTGATTCCAGAGCTGTCCAGGGCTGAATGTCCTACCCCAAATCAAGTGCCTTGATCTGTACTGACATGAAGTAACACCGTTTTGCTAACAGCTGTTTTCTTCCTGTTCAGCTACTTTGGATTGCCCTGTGTATCTGTTGTACACAAAGAGGCTTTCAAATGCCAGCCAAATGCACGGAGATTGCATGAGCAGGAACTTGGACAGCAGTGTAGATATCAAAAGAGGTGGCTGCCCAGGCAGAAGACACTAATCTCTCTGCTATAAAACTGTTCCCATTGGACAATCAGCTCACCTGGACATCTACTGCTTGCTCAGAAGAGATTGTTGTGGACTTCTCTGGGTCCAGGACTTCATCAATGGCCAGCTGTGAAACTCAACAGTGTGGCTCTGTTGAAGCAATGAGAAGAAATGAATCTTTGTGGATTTGTACCATTCTCTCTGTCCCACGTCTGTTACGTCTGTAGTCAGTTACTAGGCTGAGAATGGGTGATGTGTGAGAGATGCTGGCTGTTGTGCTGTACTAGAAAGATACACTACTCTTGATCTCAAGTCGAGAACTTCCCACAGCCCCAAAGAGGGGTCTCTTCTGAAGTGCTTTAGGTCACCATCAGGCTATGTCAGGGTGTCACAGAACCACGGCAGGGACACAGGCATGGAGTCAGTAATATGCTGGGTGGGGATCTGGGGCGGGAACCAATGCTGAAGAATTGACATCGATGGAGTGCAGACTGAAAAACAGCCCAAGTGATGTCCTGCAACCGTATATTGCACCAGAAGGGAGACATGCAAGGCGGCTGGCAGAGAAGCAGCTCTCCTTTAGCACTACCCAGCCCCGTCTTGTGGCAAGGATCAGCAAAACCTCCAAGATCGGAAGGGACGTTCTGCTCGCCGAGTGGGCATTGGCTGAATTGCCAGCAGCACTAGGGACGTGGTATCCGGGGCTGTCTTCCCCCGCCCTGGGTCCTTGCTGAATCATAGAATCATTCAGGTTGGAAAAGACCTCTAAGATCGTCTAGTCCAGCCGTCAACCCATCCCCATCATGCCCACTAAACTAAGTCCCTAAGGACCACATCTCCATGTTTCTTGAACACCCCCAGGGATGGTGACACCATCACTTCCCTGGGCAGTCCGTTCCAGTGCCCAGACTCTTTTTTGGAGAATTTTTTCCTAATATCCAACCTGAAGATGTCCTCTCTCCTCCTGCAGCCCCTGTTCCAGCCTCCTGGCACGTGGTGTACCTCAGCAACAATTTCTTAGGAGCAAGCCCACCAAGGGCTTGGTGATGCAGCACCTGCAAGCATTGCTGGCTACAAGTTTGGTGGCTGAGGAGGTGCCTGCACACTGAACAGGGAGTGGGAAGATGCTGGTGCCTAAGCTGTTTTGCTCTTTCCTCCTATCCACTCCTGTCCTCATGGGTCTCCTGTGCACGGCTGAAGCCTAGAAAGGTTCAACCCACTGCCATACCACCAACATCCACCTCTGATGAGTGGGCCAACTTATGCTGGCAGGAGGCATTACAGTTGGGACAGCCCTCGTAACACATACAGTATAATTAAGATGCAAGTAACAAAACATTCTAATTTTCAATATTTTTCTTGCAGCATTCTGGTACCCCGCACAGCACCCCAACCAACGCTCCCCTCGCAGCCACCACACAGCCGCGCAGCCCGCGCCTCCCGCCCCGCCGTGACGTCATCTCTGAGCGCCCGCAGCTCCGGCTCCGTCGGCGCCGCCATGTCCTTGTGGCGGACCCGCCTGGGCCCGGCCGCCGTCGCTACCCTCAGTTCTGCTGCCCGCGGCCGCCTGCGGAGCGCCGTCTTGCCGGCGGTGAGCGGGAACCCGGGGACGGCAGGGCCTCGGGGGGGCGGAGGGAACAGGAGAAGGGAGGGGGAGGTGACCTTCAGCGCCGAGCTTGCTGCGTGACCCCTGCGCTAGATGTGCGCCTGTGGAAAATACGCCCGGTGTGGCTTAAGAGCGCTGTCAGCTTTTAATCGTATTGCTGTGTTGTCTTTCAGGCAGGCGTTCACATCAGCTCCCAGCGCCCTTTGCAGTATGGCTGGCTGGCTTACATGCTGGGAGAGAGAGCCTCTAAAAAATTCAGCAAATACAGTAAAATCTTCACAGTGGATGGCAACCTGTCGTCTGGGAAGGGCAAGCTGGCACAGTATATTGCAGATAAATTAGGTATGGCTTTTTAGGTATGGCTTTATTTTCCCTGTAGTGTGCAGAGTAGCTGGAAGACTGTGTGGAAGAAATGGACCTGAGGGTGTTGGTCAGCATCAGGCTGAGCGTGAGCCAGCAGTGTGCCCAGGTGGCCAAGAGAGCCAATGGCATCCTGGCTGGTGTCAGAAATAGTGCAGCCAGCAGGAGTGGGAGGTGATTGTCCTTCTGTACCCAGCTCTGGTGAGGCCGCACCTTGAGTTTTCTGTTCAGTGTTGGGCCCTTCACTGCAAGAAAGACATTGCAGCCCTGAAGCGCGTCCAGAAAATGTCAATAAGGTCTTATAGGGAGCAGCTGAGGGATCTGGGGTTGTTCAGTCTGGCATAGAGGAAGTTCATGGGAGGCTTTATTGCTCTCTGCAGCTCCCTGAAAGGAGGCTGTGTTGAAGTGGGATCTGCCTTTTCTCTCGTATAACTAACAATAGGGCAGAGGTGACAGCTTCAAGTTGTGCGGGTAGAGATTCGAATTGGATGTTAGGAACAATTTCTTTTCTGAAAGAATGGTCAGGCACTGGAACCAGCTGACCAGGGAGGTGGCTGAGTCACTGTCCGTGGAGATGTTCAAGAAATGTTTAGATGTTGTACTGAGGGACGTGACTTACAGTGGAAATGCGTAGGTAGATGGTTGCACTGGATGATCTCAGAGATCTTTTCCAAACTTGTTGATTCTATGAGTCTATGATTTCAATGTTTACTGGAATTTAACAGTGTCATTGTGATTGCATAAAAGAAGTTAACCAGAACGTCAACTCTTGGCTAGCAAATTGTTAGATGGCGTCACAGTTAATGGCGTATAGATAGAGGCAGACTAAAGTGCTGATGAAACTTGAGGTGACAGGGATGTTGCCAGGTCATTGTAAATGACATTTTGATTCCAGTAATGTCCATTTACAGCTTCCGACTGTCATGAAGTCACCGAGGACTTTAAGAGGTTTTTCGGAGGTGTTTTCTGTGATGTGCTCAGAGCATCCACGTTAATGGAGAACTAGTATGATAAAAGTTCTGCTTAAAACAAATGTTCAACTCACATCATAGAGCTGGAGTAATAAAACCTAATAATTGGGTTCCATCAGCTTTCTGTGAGGTGATAGGCCAGAGGGCTTTGTGTGCTGTCTTCAGATGTTATTTAGAGTAGACCTTCATACATAAATGAGAATAGGAGATGCTAATAGTAAGCAAGTACAACTCACTGTTCTGATTGGTGTTCTCTTTTGAGTTTCTGCCTTTCTTGTCAGGAATGAAATATTTCCCAGAAGCGGATATCCATTATCAAGACAGGATCGCAGGAGACGGACTGCTACTGGATGAGAGGTTTAATGGCTTCTGTAACCTAGAGAGATTTTACAATGATCCAAAATGCCCTGATGGACACTCTTACAGGCTGCAAGCTTGGCTGTTTGGTAACCGTGTTTTACAGTACTCTGATGCATTGGAACATCTGCTTACCACAGGTTAGATTTCACACTGGATACGTTTAATGTCTGTGTTGAGTGAAAATTCTTCAGGTGTTTTTAAGTGTTTTGCTAGAATCTGTGTTTTGAAATTAAGACCCTTTTAGTGAGTGTGGTTGTATAACACATTTAGAAGAATACCTTGCATGTTTTGTGTTAGGACAATGTCTTGTATTGTTTCTAATGAAGGAAATGCATACTGTTATCAGTTTCATTGGTTTTAAATGATAGAACCGTATAAAAAAGGCCATCTTAAACATACCAACACAGCTGAGAGTTCTGTAGCCTTTTTAAAACTCCCTAAAACTTTCCTGATGACATCTTTTGTTCTGTCATTTTGATTTCACTAAGTACTGCTTTGTGCTGGTGATTATAACAATTAATTTCTGAGTGTCTTCTGGTGTGAAAAGCTTTTCTCAATCAACACTGATTTACCTGTTGCTTGTGCTTTAGTAGAAGTGTTTTCCGAAAAATGATGAAGTGTGAGTACCAGAAAGCATCACAAACACAAAAATAAGTGCGCTGCTTAAATATATTAATCCTTACTTGCTGCAGTGCTAGGCAGAGTATGAGTGTATATGGATTAGACAGGCATTTAACATGCACATCTTTGTTTGTGTGAACAGAAAACTCTTGCTCTTTTGTTTTATTTAAAATCTCTTAGGCAAGTTTTCAGAAAATTGTCTGCAAGAACAGCGCCGTCTGTAAATTTGAATGCTGCTGCCAGGGGTCTTTCTGAGCCCAGTCTGACTGGAGTCTGCTTTCAATTGCAGGTCAAGGTGTGGTGATGGAGCGCTCCCCCTACAGCGACTTTGTGTTTTTGGATGCAATGTTTAAACAGGGCTATATCCACAAACGATGTAAGTTACCTGCACGAAAAAGGGAAGTTATTTTGTCATAAACAAATGTCATAAATGTAATAAATTAGCAAAAAAAAAAAAAAAAAAAAAAAAAAAAAAAAGAAGCCTGCTGGAAAGACTGGCTACTTTAAATATTTGCTTTTGTTCATGAGGTGTTTGGCACCTTGGTCTTTCTTTCATTGAAGACCAGTCTCAATCTGTGGGACTTCCTAATCCTTATTTAAGGCCTCAGTTTGCTTGTATATTCTGAGTATTGCTTACTTGTATCTCATCAGCTAGGGAGAGCCTCCCTTAGTAAGTGTGTGAGCATGCTTATGAGGATGAGTTTTCTATGTGAGATTTTGTATGATATTTTTCCTGTGAATTTTCTGTGAGGTATCCTTCAGGCAGACCTTGATCTTGCAGCATTAGATGGGAGGTAAATCATGGACTGTTGGGATTTGGCCTGCTTGCCTTAGATTGCCAGTTACCTTTCGAATTTTGAAGAGTGCAAATGCTTTCTTGCCTGCACAAAGTGTAAGGAGGAGAATGCAAGACTTTAACAAGGTAATGGAGCTGTTCCTCCTGGAAGCCATTTTTAACATATTAAGGATGTAAAGGTGATTGCAAATAGTTGTTACAGTTTTATGAAGGAGAAATTGTGCTTAATCACCTAATAGTCAGCTCCATGCGGCAAGCTGGCTCAGTGGATGAAAGGAGTGCTGGATGTTGTTTGTCTTGACTGGAGCCAAATGTCTGGGATGTAGTTTTGTGGAAACCTGAAGCTTTTGATGCACAGCAGCATGAGCAAACAGTGTGCCTTTGTGGAACAAAAGGCTACCAACAGCCTGGGTGCTGCATGAAGAGTGCTGTCAGCTGCTCACAGGCAGTGATGACCGCATCTGGAGTTTTGTGACCAATTCTAAGCTCTCAGTTGAAGACAGACATGGAATTGCTGGAGTGAGTCCAGAAAAAGGCCATGAAGAAGGTCATCAGGAGCCTAGAGTGTCTGACAGAAGGGAAGGCTGAGAGCTGGGATGTTTTCATTTTTGCCTGGAGAAGGCTCTGAAGGGATGAGTGTAAATACCTGACGGGGGAGGAGTACGGAGATGGAACCAGACTTTCCTCAGTGGTATTTAGCAAGAGAACAAAAGGCAAGCAGCACAAATGGGTTACAAAAAGTTCAAGTTAAACGTCCATAGAAACCTTTTCTGTTGTGAAGGTGGTCAAATCCTGGAGCAGACTGTGCAGGAAGGCAATGGCAGCTCCATGCTTGGAGATGCTCAGAATCAAACTGGACACAGTCAAGAGCCACCTGCTCTCATTGGTCCTGCTCTGAGTAGAGTGAATGAGCCAGCTGATCTGCAGATATTCCTTCCAACCACAACCATTCTGCAGCTCTCAGTTACGGATGCTGAACTTTGGCAAATACATGCAAGTCTGAAGTGTAGAAAATACTGATAGAGGTGAATCTTAATCTGACCCCCAAGTAAAATGCAATTGAAGCTCTTATTTCTGGCATTTTCCTGAGGTAGAGGTACTCATTCCCTTGTTTCCCTGACCGCCTTGTGCTTCTTGTCCACTTTGTCTTAGATTTAGGATATGTTGTTTTTTTGTTTTGTTTTTTAAACACATGCTGTAAATTGCAGCTTTTTGCTGAATGAGTTTGAGGGTGGTTATAATGAATGAATGAATGTCCTATTAATTTGCAAGCAAAGCCCAGTAATCCACAATTTAACATAAAATCTAATCAACAAATACCCAATTGTACCAAAATCCTTAATATTATTGGCAGCTTTTTACTGTGATGATGGGAATGGTAGGCTTTAAATTTTTTCACAGGCTCTTTGTGTTAGAATGCCTGGTGATGTTTTTAGCTGAGCCAGTGAGCTTTGTGGAGAGAAGCTCGGACTTCAGCTAGATTAAATGGAATTTGTGCTATTAAAGCCACCTAAATATTGAATTAAATGCTTCCCCTGACAGGTTCCTAATCACCAAACTATTACCCAAAGAATGCTTTAAGATGTTGATCTGGTAGAAGAATCTGGTTGTCCTGAATCCTCTTTGTGGAAAAGCCTACCCTTAAGCTTGGTATATCTACCATGAAGAGGAAACTTCAAATAAAATAGTAGGGGGTACGTTTTATTTGGAAATAGAATGTGTTTAGCAAACACAAGAAAAACACTCAAGAAATGATGAGGTATAATTCTCATGCTGTTCCTTTGCACTTGTTCCTCGTTTGGATTAAGTTCTGCTGGCTTTAGCTTTTGTGTTTTCTTTGCTTTTTAATGCAGGTGTTGATCACTACAAGGAGATAAAAGAGATCAGCGTTTGTGAATTCCTGCCACCTCACTTGGTCATTTATTTAGATGTACCTGTCCCAGATGTGCAGAAGAGGCTTCAAGAGAAAGGAGAGGTAATTCAGGCTCTTAAAAGGTAGTCTTCCTAGCTGCAGTTTCAGGAGCTGCACTCAAGTAGTGTGCTCCTTGCTCTGCGATCTGTGCTTCCTGAATGCCAGAAGCCCCTTCTCCAGCTTCCCCAGATGACTGCTCTTTCAGACCTTTGTCGATGTTAATTGCTTGTCAGTTCAAGTAGGGATTACCTGCAAATTCAGTTAGTTTCCTGAATCGAGGGCGGTTATGAAAGCTTGGTGCTTTGATGTTAATACAACAAAACTTTAAGCTAGCTTTTATAGATCTTTCGTGAGATAGAAAAACCATTGAGCTTTCTGGCCAGTCTTATACCTGTGAAGGAGTACAGCTGATTCTTGTCACCAGTGCAACTTCCATGTGATCTGAGGTTTGATAGGTGACTTTATGTATTGTTATCTTCGACAGTTTATTTTCCAGATCCTCTGGAACTGTTGTAACTCCCATCATCAAGCATCTTTCAAGCTGCTTTTTAAATTCATGGCAGTGGATAGATACTGCTGTTGAAAATAAAAGTAACTTCAGTTCTATAGCGTTACCTCTTAAAATTTCTTATCACCATATTACGTTACTGGGTTATTGAAATTATTATTTATCAGAAAAATGGTAGGAGGTTTTTGTGTAATGATTAAATACGATGTTTGGTTTGGATTTTTTCCTTAACCTCCTGTGGTGTTTGGACGCATGCTTGTAACTGTTCTCAGATCCGTTCTGAGGGTTTAATGATGTTTACCTTATGCCATGGCTATAGAAAATTGTATTCAGGTGAGGTATTTAACTGTGGAAAGCCTGATATATTAAAAGAAAGCTTTGATTTATTACAAAAGCCATTCTCAGGTCCCTTAAATGCTTGGTGATGTCTGCTTCTTGAAGCAAGTGTGTGTTGGTGTGCTGGGTTTAAGTCAGTAGCGTTTTGTTTTTGCCCATTTAAGAGGGATGCTGATCATTGCCAAAGGGAAGTGACTTCAGAGCTGTGAAGTGGAAGGCTGCCCTTGCTGCTTTGTGGTCTGTGTAGCCTCAATGGCTTTGCCTGCTGCTCAAGTGGCTCCTTTCCTGCCCTCCAGCAGTTTGGACGCTGACTAAACGCGCCTCTACTCTTTAACGAACAAGGCACTCTTGTGTGGGAGAACTATGGATTTCTTTGTTTTAGCAACTTCAGTTACAGAAATAGAAACTTAATGTATTGTGGGAACCTGCCCGTTCTTTGCCCCTATGAGCAAAAAGGTCAGCGGCACTTTTGAGACGTTCTGGCATGAATTGCTGGTGTAACAGAGCTTCCCTAGGGCAGTGGCACCTGCTGGGCATTGTGGGGCTTGTTTGGGGATAGAACTTTGGGTTCCTGGTGGATGGAGTGTTTGTGGTTGGTATTGAGTACAGTTATTGCAGAGCTCTGGAAGAAGAGAAGCCTTCCAGTGGGGCCGGCTGGCAGAGATGCAGCACCTTCCAATGCGGTGGGCATCTTGGAGGTGTGTTTCCTATTTGAATAGTGGCAGGAATCGTGCCTTGATTTTAGGATTGAACTGAAGGAAGACATGCTAAATGAAAGAAATTCCGGTTATTTTGCAAACGTGACATTAAGGCAAGATGTGTAGGAGATTAGGCTTGCGGTGAACTGTCTAACAGCTGGTAGGATATCCTTTAAATCCCAAAAGAAGATAGAGAAGAAAATGGCTGTCCATGCAACTGTCTGAAACTAGAGAAATGGGTTAACGTTGGCCCTCTTGCTGGAAAGGCAGACTGGGATGATCCTCTCCTTTCTTTCAGGTGATAATATATAATTTCCTGGATTATGTAAATAGATAACTTTTCAAGGACTGATAAAATTTAAGTTTTGAGACTGTTGTTTGGTTCATGCAAACTCTGGAAAAATGAGAATTCCCAAAAACTGCAATAAATTTTAAGAAAGCTTTTTGTTTTGCTCTTACATCATTCTGTTGAGCCTTTTCCTTTATTGACTAGATTCACTATCAGATCAGAAGAATCTCGCTCATGTCTAATGATTAAAACCATGGAGATGGCGGGTGTAAAGCAGTGATTACTACATTCTGTGACTCATTCCTTGGGGTACTCTTGATGTTTAAGAAACTCTAAATGCTCTGTATGACTTAACTCTTGAAACTCAAGTATGGTTCACTGAATAGCTGCTAATACAAGAGTGAACTCTTGACAGATGGTGTAGGACCAACTTCTGCTTAGGCTCCTGTGCTGATGGGGAAAAGAAAATACACTTTGTAATGTTATTCTTCTGTTTTCTGTCTATTTTTAGCCTTACGAGAAAAAGGTGCCTGCTTCGTATCTCCAGAACATTGAGGATGCTTATAAGAAAACCTTCTTACCAGAAATGAGGTTAGCAAACCAAACTGCTCTGTTCACTGAGTCTTTGAGTAAAGAAATGTGTCATGATCCTAAAATCTCTTCAAATAGAAGCAAATAAAACCACATAATGTGAGATAATCCTTTTTCTGCTATGTGCTACAATGTGATGCCCTATTTATATGGTGCTGTATCCTTGGTATGCTGTCTGTGTATACTTGTGCATAGTAATTTCCTGCATCTTAGAAGCTTGATGTCACCACTGCAGTGTTGGAGTACTGAAAGTGAAATGTTTTTAGGAGCACATGGGAGGAATGTTGTACAGTAGTAAATTCATTGGATATTGTTAGTGGAGCTGAGCCTGGATCTGTTGTGTGCCACACTTGGGATGTTACCTTCCCTAACAACTCTTCTCAGTTGTCATAGCTTTGGCTAATTTCTTGATGGTGATACAGAAGGAGAGAGATAAGGGCTTCTCTTTCCCGTTTCTAGTTCAGTTTCTCTGCCTTGTGAGGCAGACACATTGCATCCAGGAGAGGATTCAGTGGACTTTGTTGATACTGTTAAAAGAGTGCACTGCTACCTGCCTTTACAGGCTGAAGTGCTTGTCTTTGAACTTCCCAGCTTTCTCTGGCTGGGAAGTGAGAATGTGTGAACTGTGAACTTGAGACTGTAATAATTTGTCAGATGTCCCCATTCTTAAGAAATAGCTCTATCAAAAATCAAATTGCCTTACAAATATAAAAACGTGAGTGTGAGCAGTCTTGCTATTCTGAGCAGGTTACTTTCAGGAAAAAAAAGCTGTTAAAGGTTACAGAGTCAGGTCTGCTTTACATCAAAACTGTCTACTCATGCAAGACTTGTTTTGTTCATGAAATTGACTATTGAGTTTCATTTATTTAAGTCATAGAAGATCTTCAGGAATATTGTTGCTTGCTTGCTTCCTTGTTGCTTTCTCGCTTCAGCTCCATGGTAAATCAGTACAATTGTGCAATTGAAGTGGATAACTTGATGTTGAGCTTGTCATTCATACAGGGACAGAAGCTGTTGGTGCAGTATATGGTTAGCTGCCTCTAACCTACACAGATTAACAGCTGCCAGAAGAAAGTGGCAGGGAGGAAGGGTGGGCAATGATGGGACTGTCATCCCCCCGAGGGCAGAGTAGGTTTGAATTTACTTGCAAGGAGGAAAATGCTGCTTATTCTTTGGATCAAATCTAGCCTCAGAAAAACACTGCGTCGTTCAGCGAGGCTAAACCTAGCCTAACTGGTCCTGCTGTGATTTCAACTCTTTCCCCTTTGTCTGGATGTGGTCAGTACACTTGTTAAGCAAACACCCTCTACTTGGCATCCTCATCAGTGCCCAGGCTCACAATGGCTTGTCACATCGATCTGCGTGCTCAGGCCTGAAGGGAGATGTCTCTGTTCCCTTGGTGGGAGGAGATCTGCACATGTGAAACTTCAGCTGTGCCTATCTCTGGACCTCGCTGATGACTTGCATGTTGCATAGATGCACACTGCCTTCAACTGCCTTTAACTGTTTGCTTGCTGACTTGCTCAGTGGTGCACCAAATGATGAGCATGCCTGGCTGTTACAGACTGTAACAAACTAATACCGGATTTCCTGGTACTTCAGTCTTAGAGTGAATATTTGGTGATCATAAAATTTGTGCTTCCTTTCTAGTCTGATATGCCTGAGAATGTCCTTATATGTATCTGTGTCCATCTATCCACATATATATAATCTTTTTAATGCATTTGTGAGCTGGCTGCTATGAGGCAGGTTCTTGGTGACTACGAACAGACAGCTTTTGTCTTTTGATTGATTTTCTGGTCCAGTGGTCTCAGATCACTGATGCTATCTTTCATATCCAATAGCGCTTCCACTGAGCAGCTGTTTTCACATAATGAAAGCCCTGATAACATGCAGAGTATCAAGTGATTTGATCTGCATTGCTAATGCAGCTGCCAGTGTAAGGCTGAGGCCTGGCTTACCTTCTAATTTGTGACAGTTGAAACTGAAGGTGTGTGTTCACATCCTACAGCGGCTCCCTTGAAAGCAAACCACCCGTGTTCTTTTTGTGACTGAGGAGTTCTGTGAGGTTTCTGCTTTTTTTCCCCTCAAGCTGGAAAAAAAAACCCTCTTCAAACAGTCCACTATTGGGAGCACCAGTTGAATGGCTGACAATGTAAAAGTTTGGGGCTTCATGTGAATAAAGGACGCCTCGTAAGGAAACTGGTTTTTGTTAGCCAGGGCTGCTCTGGCTGAAAGATGATAATGCAGATGAGGAACCAGCCTGAACTGCTGCAACTTTTTATTTTGTTAGCAGTCCTGCCTCCAGCAGCACTGTTTACACTGCCAGCCTCGATTCTGATTAAACTTAGAGGTGACTTTTCTATGCTGTACAATTAAGAAAACAGCATGTTGCCTGCCTTATGTTCTTTGTTCTACACATAGATCACACTGCCTCTGTTGCATTGGTTCATTTAGCTCTGACTTAGTAATAATGACGAATGAATGTATTATTTTCTTAAGACTTACCCACAAGTGTTAATGTACACATAAAAATGGAAGGTCTGCTGAAGCTTTGGGTTGAACAGTTTTATGTTGTCAAGTAGATTGGGCATTTGTGCCGATGGTAACATCAGTGAAATGGAAACAGATTGGTAGGTGGGATATTTCTATTTTTCTTATTGAACTAAAACTGTAGACTTTCTACAGGTCGTTTGTACAGTTTTATGTCAGGAAAGAAACAACTCACAGATCCAACACATCTATTGCAGGCTCTGGAAAAAATAAAAAAAGCTTTGGGTTCTGTTTTTGTGCTTTTGAATGTAATTTCTGCTTCATTTTGATGTAGAGGTGAGAAGATGTTAAAAGCAGTTGTGTCCTGTGAGCTCAACTTCTTTCTATTTTTTTTCCATTGCAGTGAGAACAGTGAAATTCTGCAATACACAGCAAGTGAGGCAGAGGATGTGGAGAAGGTAAAGAGTTTGCTGCTTCCAAAACAGAAACATGAAGAAAACACCTTATCTTAGATAATAAACTTAATTAGCTACTTTATGCAATTAGTGCTTGCTGCTCTGTCAGTATTCTGGGCTGGGACTATAAGTGCTTTGCAGTGATGTTGCATGAGTGATTGCATTTTTGTCAGGAGAGTGTACACCCTTCCCCCCATCCCTTTTGCCATTATACCTGTCTGCCTGAGCAAGCAAGTTCCACTCTATTATTACTGCTAATTTTTTTTCTTCAAAAGAATCTTTTGGCTCATTTAAATTATGCCAAGTGTTTCCACATCTGGATTGTTTTTCCAAACAAATCCTGAGGCAGTGGAAACAGCATTTCCTGACTCTCTGGGCTGTACATTATTTGTCTCTTTGGTATCACTCTTTGAAGTGTTGTGGCTGGTGGGATAGGTAAGGTTCTTTATAGCTTAATTTGGGAACTAAAGGCATTAACCAAGAAGTAAGTCACACTCAGCAGCCAGCTGAGATTTTTCCTACAAGCATAAAGTCTATTTCTATTGGCTTTTGCCACTACACAGCTTCTTATGATCCAGATTGGTACACAGGTTCCTTTGCAGTAAAATAGCTGTTGTTTGCGATAAGCCAGTGATGATCAGCTCTGAGAAAACAACTTGATAATCAGAGCTGTTGCAAAGCTGGTAACCCTGGGTTATTCATCTGTGTTGACTAGCGTGTGGTGTCTCTACTGTATCACCTTCTCCAAAGTGTTTTGCATGACACATTAACACTTGCCTTATTTCAACAGATGTTCTTGCTTGTGGAAAATAATAGTGGGGAAGTAGAAACTTACTTTCTTCTTTTGAAATTTGCCTCTGTAGCTGCGATCCCCTCTGAAAACAGTCATTGGCTTTATGTAATTCTGTACAGATTGTGGTGGTTGTGTTTCATTGTCTGGGATGGAATCGAATCCCTCAAAGTTCATTTGCACTCTGGAGTAGCAGTAAGGGTCTCAACTTAGCAAAGATCTTGGAGAGTGGCCTTACAGTGACTTCCACCAGCCCCCTCAACACCATCAGGTCCATCAGGTCCCGTGCACTTATGGATGTCCAGATTGCTTAACTGTTCCATAACACAGTCCTCATCATCCAAGGCAAACTCTTCCTTTATCCCAATTTCCTCAGGGGTGTGAGACTCCTCAGGACAGCCTGTAGCAGTATAGACAGACGAAGGCATTTAGTAACTCTGCCTTCTCTGTGACTTCTGTCACCAGGGCACCCACCTCATTCATCAGTGGGCCTGCATTGCCTTTAGTGTTAGTTTTATCTGCAGTGGATTTGAAGAAGGCCTTTCTGTTGTCCTTGACCCCTCTTGCAAGCTTTAATTAAGATTGTTACTGCCAACCTTGGCATTTGCAGTGAGAGAGGTATCTGACTGCTTGTACCCGTGCTGAGCATATTTGAACATTTTGAAGCCCTGAAGGAGGTAACCTGCTACTGCTTTCCTCACTTATGGATGTACTGGTCCAGCTGGGATGGAAGTATTCCTTCATTCCAGCTGTGACAGCTGACCCAAACTGACCAAAGGGGTGTTCTGTACCATGTAACATCACACTCTGCCATGGAGGGAGTTCCAAAGTAGCCTTTGCTTGAGGACTAACAGGGCATCCATCTGCTACTGTGAGCTGGTGAGTGATTGCCTCGGCACCACTGCTTGCTTGTTTTTGCTTTTTCTCTTCCTTTTTGTTTATTAAACTGTCTTTGTCTCGACTTATTAGCTGTTCTTGCTTTTGTCCTTCTAATTCTCTTGCTCTCCCACTTCACTTCCCACTGCCGAGCAGTGAGCAGCTGGGTGGGGGCTTAGCTGCCAGCTGGGATCAGCCCACCACAGCTGTGGAAGACTCTCCACAGCAGCAGTGAAACTTGGAGATCCCGAATTGTGTGTTTTCAGGTTTTCAGAGAGAACTGGTAATGGTTGGGAGTGATAGCTCCCATAGGGCATCAAGTATGTTATGCTGCTGTGGCCAGGCTACAGCTGTGAAATGAGGAGTAGTAAGAGAGGCTTTTTGTTAGGTCTTATCTTTTGTTAGATAAGAGCAAGTTAGGCTTGACTTCTGTCAAAGGGGCTCTGTTCAGTTGGTAGAGCTCTGACACTCATATCCACCCATGCTGGAGCATATAGTGACAGCATTACTTTTTTTTTTTCACAAAGAAGCATAATGTTATTGTTACTGACTTGCATTTTTTCTCCTTGAGCCAGATGGCAAAGCTTAATCCTATGAGCAAGCGGATGGAAAATCTCTTGGCTCTGTGAGTGTAGTACATGCAGTTGGAGTCAGTGATTTAGTTCAGTTGAATCCTGCAGTAAACTTTACTCTCTAGGGGCTGACTTTGTTTGGAAGCTCAGAGTAGCTTCTACTTGTGCAGTGTGCATTACAGTAGCATTCACCTGAGAGCCTTGTGTTTCCATGCATAAAGGTTTTGTAAAGCTGGGAATGTTGGTATGGACTTTGCAGTCCCTAAAATCCTTGAAGTGCCGTTAGTCATATAAAATAGCTGTTTTTGGAGTACTGCAAAAAGGGAAGTTTCTGAAAATGGAATATCTTTATAATTTTTAAATACCAATGGCCTTTCTTTGCCTTTGTTGTGAGATTTGACTTTATTTATGCAGATAGCTACCTGTGATCATTACAGGTGGACAGTTCTGATGTAATTCCTTCTGCACTGCTTTCAGGAAGAGAAAATGATTGAAGGGACTAAATGTTCCTATTTTTTCTTAGTCCTGAAATTTTAAAATTATCTCTTGAGGGACGAAATTAGACAGGAAAAGGGTGAAATGAATGGAAAAGAAGAGGTCAGCATGTGGATAAGAATATTTGAGCAATTATTGTTAGCTTTTCAGGATATCAGAAAGGATAGTAGGAGTTGAGAGCTGTGTTTCAAGGAGTGTGGAGGTGTTGGAAGAAATGAGAGCTTGTTTTCTTCTGTTCTTCCTGAACGTGTTTTGAAGTGGTCAGGGTAAAGCCATTTGTCTCCTCCCCAGACTTCCTAGAAAAGTCATTGCTAGAGGTTTTATTTTAATCCTGCAGATCAGAGTTTGAAGTCTGTCTAAAGGTCTTATTGCTCAAGTCAAGTCTATGGAGCTCAGCAAATTTGCGTCGTGGCTGAGCGTAACAAGAGTGCACACTGATAATCCTTTTCTTAATTTAGTTGGACAAATCTGGGATAGAGGACAGATTATTGAAGTCCAGGTCCAAGATGGGATCATATTCTCATTGTTAGATATTAGTTACAGAAACTAGGATTTTTTTCCATTTGAAAGAATGACATTGATTCCCTTATGCCTGGGTTCAGTTTACCTTTGAAGTGAAAAGACTGGCGTTTGTAAATAAGGGATAACAGAAGGGAATTGGTTTTTGCTTAAAGGGTTTTTGTGTGTAGGCAGCTATACCCTGCTAATAGAGCTAATACTTAACTGTTAGCCAGCTTCCAGCTACAAATTCTTTACTGCAATTTGGGAACTTAATTTTGTATGACTTTATAGTGTAACAGTTTTTGAATTGCTCATAGAAAACGTGCAGCTTAGAAAGAACTTCTATTTCTGAAGTGTCTTTTAAAAAGATCAGTTGGGGCTTCATATTGTCATTAAGATTGGTTGTAACAATTAAAGGATTTGTAAGTGCTCAAGTGATCTTGGTTAGAACATTTCAAACCACATTTACACGAGAACAAAATAGTAAAAAGTTGGCTTTTTGAATTCAAATAATTTCTGTTTTATTTCCCCTTTTTAAAAAAAGTGGATATAGAAGGGTTATGACTTACAAGCAGGACTGGACCAGTTCCAATTCCTCTGTACTTGTACACAGTGTTTTGTATTATGCATTGATTTTATTCGGTGACCCCACCTTGTGTAAACTGGAGGAAATTATCTAGGTGGGGGGCTGATGGCAGAGCAGCTCTGTACCACGTCCTTTGCCAGTGTGGAATTGCAAGGATTCCGAGCTAGATGGCATGAAGTTTTTGGTTGCAGCTGCTGTTTGTGTGCTGAGCTTCTTCCTGCAAGAGTTCCTGGGGTTGGATCCTGCATTGCTCCTTGCACCCTGCATTTTGCTTAAGGAGAAACCTGATCTGACTGACAGACCATCCTTTGTCCCATACCTGCGTTGCCTTCTGCTCTCGCTGGAGTTCTTCTAACAACAGAACTCACCAGATCGCCGTGAAAACCAGCTTAGAAATTGTAAGCTGTTTGTATTGGCTTAATTGCAAAGATTATGGGAAGGAGTCTCATTATTGAAAACCGTTTTTTCTGAATCCTACCAATCTCTGTGGTATATTAAGACCTGATCTCTCCTGGCTGTTGTTACGTGTTGTGCTGCTTAGTCAGGCCTAAATCATGTATTTGCTACTAATTCCCAGGAGGTGCCGATGCATTCCTTGTGAATTAAAAAGCTGTTCTTCTGGCCTGGTTGGAGGAGGAGGGCTGATGCCATTATTAATGAGCTGCTGGTGAAGATTTCTGATGTAGTAATAAGTGTGCAAAACTAATTTGGGCATTAATTTCTTTTTTCCCCTCGACGTGGTCTGAGCCCTTTTGTCAGCAGCTCTATTATTAATCCTGTCATCAGCAGCAGTGGGGCAAACTCTGCTATGGAGTAGGGGAGTAATTGCTTTTGCACATCTAATGGGAAGTATGTTGGAAGTTTAACCTCTAAATTAAGAACAATGGACATTTGAACTAACAACATTCATCTTTTTCTTTTGTAAAAATGATAATCGTACTGTGTCAGGCAGTTTGGTAGGAACAAGCAGTTTCCAAGTGTAATTTTGAAAACTCATCTAGATGTCTGTGGTGCAGCTTTCTGCAGTGTTTTTGAGGCCTGAAACGTGTTGTTTTTCCGTCAACAGGTGAATTTATTTAACACAAGAAGTAGGTTTCCCATGCTCTTAGCTATGATATCTCACTTAAGAACTTAATTATTTGTAGAAGATAAAAGATGGTTGAACAGCATCTTGCTTGCAATTTTAAATACACTTTGATGCTGTCACATATTAACCGTATTTTTCAAGTCTTCAATCAGCTAATTTAGTGTTCAGCAAATGTGAAGCCTTCAGTTAAATGATGGTTCAGTTACTCCTATCTCTAAGCTGCTACTTCTTGCCATAAAAATGTAATAGTGCCAGAGTGAACCTTTTTAGTTGGGACTCCTTTGTAGTAGTGTGTTTCTATTACCCTTCAGGTGGTAATAAAAGGGACTTAGTGTTCACTGTGATTGTAGGGAATAGGTTACTATGGATTTGATGTGCAGTAAAGGATAAAAGCTTTTCTGATTATTTTATCACCTTATTACTGGCATCTGCTTGCTTTGTTGTCAGTGGATCAACAATATGAGGGTTTCAGTCCTGACCTCAATAGTTTTTATCCTTCTACAAGAGGCATCTGTGAAATGGTAGGAGTTGCCATGATCTGTTCTTTCCCAAGTTGCTCTGAGGTTTTGGCTTAAGTGCATTGTCCTGACACTGGTTTGGGTTTCCTTTTAGCAAGTAGGTCATGTGTGATAACCTCGGGCTTGTGTTAAACAATTGCCCAATGGACCAGCAAAGATCCGTTTTCTGATGGAACAAGATTGTAAATGAAGCTCAAATATGGATTGGAAATTCTGGTGATGCTAGCAGGGTGATTTGCTGAGGTGTTACTTGTTTGAACAGTTCTTGGTGTCAAATGGAGACTTTTGCCCTTCCTTTCTGCTCTGGATGCGTGTGAGCATGGATAGGTTTTCACATCTGATCAAATCCAAAATCTGTGGACTTCTAATTCAAGAGCTACTCTATTCCAGCCTGGAGTGTACCCCCATTTCTGTCTTGTGAACCGTGCCCAGCAACATCAAGGAACAGTTTCACTGCACTTCAGCTTTTCTCAGTCAGTAGACTACTTCTCCTTTTTGAAAGAAAACAGCCCTCCTATGCAGCACTAAGCATAATGATTTTACTTGCAACAGAAAGGGTTAAATTTAGACTCCTTTTCATTCTTTCTTTGATTTGCCTTTGGAGTGAGCTTGTGTTTTTTCCCTTTCAGTCTCAACAGCAGGTTGAAGAAGAAAGTTGTAGATGGTGTAAGAACTTGGAAACATAACACCTCTCCAGCCTACTTAATCCCAGCCAAGGCTTAGGCCAGCAGGCACTGTAGTGCTGGTCACTGTGTGTCTGTGCAATGCTCACAGCAGGACTGCTACCTCCAGAAATGTGACTCAGAGATCATACTAACGTATGCTTAAAATGTCTGTGTTGTTCATACAGTTTTACCAGGGAGACCTTTTTACTGCATAAGAGTATATTTCAGTTACTTCAATTGCCTGGAGGGGGCTGCTTTGACATTCTCATCAGACCACCTGTTAATATGATTTTTTCCTCTGATTTCAGGTAATTGAAGACATTGAGTACTTGAAATTTGACAAGGGCCCATGGCTGGAACAAGATGATGTTTCCTTCCATCATTTGAGACTTTTGTAAGTATGATATCTTCCAGTATGGTTTAGCACTGGATTTCTGGGAATCGTTAAAGCCTTGACCTTTTCTAAGGTATATTTATATTTGCACTGTGCTTCATGTGACAGTAGACTTTTTTAATACTGTTGCTGTTGTAAAGTGAGTGCGGAGTTGTGTTGCTGCTAACCAGTTGGAGGAGAGACTTCAGGCAAACATCCCTTTCTATTAATGAAGTACAAGAATCATAGAACATTTAGGTTGGAAAAGACCTTCAAGATCGTGTCCAGCCATTAATTAACATTATCAAGTCCACCACTAAACCATGTCCCTCAGGCCACAGCCACATGTCTCTTAAATGCCTCCAGGGAGGGGGCCTCCATCACCTCTCTGGGCAGCCCCTTCCAGTGTGTGACCACCCTTTCACTGAAGAAATTCTTTCTGATATCCTGTCTAAACCTCTCATGGTGCAACTTGAGGCCATTTCCTCGTGTCCTGTCACTGGTCTCCTGAAGAAACAGCCAGCCACCTCACTGCAACTGGCTTTCAGATAGTTGTAGTGCAGTGAGATCTTCCCTCAGCCTGCTTTTCTCCAGTCTGAACAATGCTACTTCCCTCAACTGGCTCCTTGTGGCTTGTTTTCTAGTCTCTTTACCAATTTTGTTGCTCTTCTCTGAACCTCAGTATCCTCTTTGTAATAAGAGGCCTAAAGCAGTACACAATATTTAGGGTGTTGTCTCACCGGTGCTGTGTAAAAAGGGATAATCACAGAATCCTTATAGTTGGAAGAACATCTGAAGGCGATCTAGTCCAGCTCCCCTGCATCAGGTTGCCCAGGGGCTGGTCCAGCTTTGCCTTGAAAGTCTCCAGGGACAGGGCATCATCCAAATCATTAGGCAGCCTGTTCCAGTGCCTCACTATCCTCACTGTAGAAGATTTTTCCCTTATATCTAACCTAGATGTACCCTCTTTGAGCTTGTAACCACTGAAACCATTTCCTCTTGTCCTGTTGCCACAGACCCTGCTAAAGAATCTGTCCTTCTTTCATTAGCTCCATTTTAGATACTGAAAGGCTGCCATCAGGTCACTTCACAGCTTTCTCTAGGCTTCTTGTTTCCCAGTGCTGCTGTTTGCTGATGCAAACCAGGGTGCTGTTGGCCTTCTTGGCCACCTGGCTGTGCTGCTGGCTCATTCAGGTGATTGTCAGCACCTTCAGGTTCTTTTCTGCTGGGCTACTTTCCAGATAGTTTTTCCAAGCCTATGCTGCTGCATGGGGTTGTTGTGACCCATGTGCAGCACCTAGCATTTAGCTTCGTTGGCTGCCATGCAGTTGGACTCAGATGATTAATCAGCCTATGCACGTCACTCTGCAGATCCCTCCTGCCCTCAAGCAGATTGATGCTCTTGCAGCTTGGTGTCTTCTTCAAACTTGTAGAAGGTTCACTTGATTCCATCATCTGTATCACTGATGAGGGAACACTAATTATGATTGACTACCAAACTCTGCTGGCAGCATCTTTTTGGGCCTGGCTGTCTGGATAGTTCTTTACCTGGCAATGAGCACATCTGTCCAGGCCACAAGCAGCCAGTTTCTCCAGGCATTTCCCAATTACTGTGACCTGTGGTTCCTACTGTTGGAAATGTATTTTGCGAGCTGGCTAAGCACTGTATACAGACAGGCATGCAGTTTTAAAACACTATTTATGCACTTGACATGGTGGTGTCACTGCTGCTCTGGCAGCACGGTGTTCTTCATCAGAGCTTGTTGACAGGGCAACCTTGTAGTGAGATTTAGGTGTGGTGCTGTTTAGATTGGCTGTGTTTAGAGTGTTTTTCTGAAAGTAATTTTTCAGCTGTCTGCTTTTTGGTATCTTCACAGCAGTCAAGAAGCTGGCTGTAGGGTAAAAAGGAAACAGCCAAACTTGGAAGACTGTATGGAAGATAAGTGCTTTTGTGCTCTTTCTGTCTGACTTCCAGAAAATAATCCTAAACCAGAGCTTTGTTCTTAATTTGCAGGTTTTTTTCCTTTGTTCTGTGTAATAACAAGCAAAATTGTAACATGTAGTAGTTCAAGGGTAGTGTTTTTTTGTTTTTTTTTTCTTAAAGATGTCTGTTTAATTGGGTGTGAAGAAATCAAAATCAGACAGTGGAAAGCTTCTTGCTGAAATAAAGTCAAATTTGATTAAAGGAATTCTTTGCAAGTACTCCATGATGATCTCTGTTCCAATTTAATTGTGGAGTGCTACGGGTAAGGTTGCATATGTCTGCAGAGCAATGTTGAAGGGAGACCTAGCCCTCAAACTTGAAGGGATATGAATCAAATCATTGACATGCATGTAAGCAAGTAAGTCTGCATGCATTGCAGATGAAGCATTAGGACTGCCACTCTTGAGTCATGTTGATGAACAAAATGTTCCCTGGATAATCCCACATTAAAAAAAAAAATCTACACTTGGAAGAGTATTAATAGGTTTAGCCTTGACTGAAGTGAGATAAGCTTCTCATTTTACAGAATAACATCAGACTGCGTGCATGGGGTAGCAAGTTCAGTATAGTTGCTGCATTTTTAAAGCAAAGCTTAACAATTACACAGTTGTGTTAGTTTCAGGTTCTCTCTCACAGGTTGGTGGAAATGCAGGGTTTTAAAGAAGCATATAGTTGAACACTTTTCTCTGAATTTCATAGAATTACAGAAGAGACCTCTGGCTCACTCTGGCACTTCTGCTCCAGTAGGGGCACCCACAATAGGTGGCTTTCAGAGATCTGCAAGGAGGAGACCCCATAACCTCTGTATCCTCTCTTTGGTGTTGTGGGTTTTTTTGGTTTGTTTTTTTAAATACGTTGGTGAAATCCCTCTGAGCCTCCTCCCCTTCTCCAGGCTGAACAGTCCCAGATTTCTTACTGCTTTTCCTCATAGGAGAGTTGCTCAGTCCTTTCTGCACCTTGGCTGGACTCCCTCAAGTCTGCCCAGGTCTCTCTTGTCCTGGTGGGCAGAACTGAACCCAGCACTCCAGGTGTGGCAGAGCAGAAGGGAAGCATCCCCTCCCTTGTCCTGCTGCCAACACTTGGCTCAGTGCACTCAGGACACCATCAGTCTTTGTCTCAAGGGCACTCTGCTGGCTCCTGTGCAGCTTGGTGCCCACCATTCCCATTCCTGCAGAGCTGCTCCCACCTGGGTGCCAGCAGCATGCCCCACTCTTCCTCTTGTTGTGCTTAGAATTTCAGTCTTGATTGTGATACAGGCACTGGAATAGTAAGTTAAATTGATTTATTCTGCGAAAAAGAATCCTGTACATCTCTTTTATTCGTTTGTGCTGTTACTTAAATTGTCTCCTAATATCAGCAATACTGTTGTGCCTTTTGTCTGGCTTTTCTACCAAGGGCTGAAGGTGTATCACAGAAAAGCAGCTTTGAGTGGCATCTAAGAGAAATAAGTCAAGATTTGAGTGCCCTTTAAGCATCTCAGAAGAGTTTTCTGTATGTAGTAGTTAAAAGATACATCTGGTGGCTTACATCCCATGAAGCTATGGAAATCAGATTTCCTTTGAAAGGAGAAAATACTTTTAAGTTACTGTTTTTCCTGTAGCTTCGCACTGGTACAGGTATTAAGAAAGGATTATTGTTAATTGTGGAGTGTAGGAGGGAGTTAAAAGAAAGCACACAAAGAGTGCTGTATTAAGATATTGTATGAAAATTGCGCTTTGTAACTGTGGAAAAGAACAAATAGCATTGCTGAGGAGTTAATTTTTCATTGAACCCCGGGCGATGATGAGAGGGTTTCCTTTACAAGACCTGTCATTGCAGATAATAAGAAATCACTTCTTCTGTTGGCAGTGTGTGGCTATGTTACTGAGCTCTCACAATGCAACAAACTGCTAATTTAAATGTTAATATGGTTTGAGTTTTACTGCTAACGCTTGCCTTCAGAATAACATTGTCAAGATAGTGGTTTTGTGTTCAGAGGTTTGGTGAAAGCAAAACTGTCCAGGAAATGGTGAGCAGCTTCTAACTCCTTGTGAAGATGTACACCAAGTAAGAAGGAACCTGAAAGAACCTTGCACAGATGCCCTGTGCCCATATTAGTTCCTCTTGATGGAAGGAAGCTTTAATGGTGCTGTGCACTCCAGATCACACACACCAGCACCTGCTGCCCTCTTGTGTTCCTGTTAGGCTGCAGCAAGGGTTTGGCTCTGCTGCTCTGTGTTCTCTGCTGCAGGGATGCTTTCACTTCTCCCACCTTCAGCTCTCACTTGACACATCTGGACAAAGGGGAGTTGATGGGTATTGTGAGGATAGCTTTTTAATTGCACATGTATGGGCCCTGGCATATGGAAACCCCCATCAGGGCCTCTCACTTCTTCGGTAATGCAAATAGTAAGCAAGCTAATCAGACCAGGGAGCCGCACCCATATAAATCAGTTGCAAAACACATCTTTTATCTCCTGCCTTGCCCTCAAGTCCTCTCTCCTTTGCCCTAATAGAGAGCAGTTTGATCATGGGATTGAGGCATAAGTTGCTAAAAGGTTAAGAACGTGCTTGTGTGTAAGCTGGAGGGTTCTCCCAGAGAATGCTTTCCATGTCTTTCCTCCCTTCCAGCCTCTGAGTCAGAGGAACAGAAATCATTCTGTTGGCTTTTGGGAGCGTCCCAGGGATTTCCCATGTTGCTGCTGCACTGCCTTAAGTCTGTTTTTATCTGTGCCCTTCCTGACAGAATTGTCTGACTGCGTGTGTGCATTGCAAAATAAATAATGTTTTGGAATAAGTAATGTTTTGAAACAAGGAGCTGTAGGTGGTGTAGTGCCACCTGTGTTAATGTGCCAGCAGGTGAGCGAAACACTGCGTTTCACTTGTCCTGTTTACAAGTCCCCAGCTAGATCTGTTACATTACTGCAGCTCCTTCAGAGTTTGTTGTAGCAGAACGTATTTTTAATGACTAAATCTTCAGCCACCATTACTTTCATTAAAAAGGGGTAGGTATCAACATTTCTTTTATCTTGATGAAAAGGAATCAATTTTCATTTGTAAACAATCTATCCAGGAAATAGTTTGTCACTGTCATACGTTCCATTTAGTTCATTAATTACAATTGGTGTGCTACATAACCTGTGTAGTAAATTGCCTGGTATTGTGTTTGGCATTACAACAGAAATATATTTTGAAGTTGTTACTGAAGAATCTTGTGCAAGCAGTGATTGGTAATTCCTAAGTTGTGTTAATGTTCCTTTAAGTAGTTAAAACTGTTGCAGACCCCACTGAAGCTGGGCTTCAGTTTTTTTTCTGTTTGTTTTGCTCTGATGAAATGACATCTTGTAGAGGAGGGAAGAAATGAGGGAAAGCAACTCTTCAGCTCTGTTTCACACCATTAGCAAAGGAAAGGCACATCCATTCTGGATATGTCCGTGTGGTATCAAATAGGAGCACAATAGTGATTGTAAGCAGTGTTTTTATAACTCCTCTGTCACGGAGACCCAAAAAATCTCATAAACCATCCATCACAGAACTTCTGGCACTGCTGGGAACTGCTTCCTTAGCACCTTTTGTCCTTTATGCTTCCACTGGAACAACTCTTCTTTGTCAGTTTTCCTTTGCAGCAGCTTTCTTGTAGGTTGGAAGCATTCTTATTGCACCTTCTCACCTCTTGCAGACCTGCTTTTCTTGGAAAGCTCTTTGTTTTTCTTTCCTGGCAGTGATTGTGCCTGTTCACCAGGGAGTGGCCACGGTTCACTTCAGGCAGGGCATGCTGGCACTGCCTGGCCAATGAGTCTGTTGGTCTGAAGGAGATCTGCAACTCATTGCCCTGCCATTGTGAAGGTCTGGAGCGAGTGGGCAAGAAGAAAATGGCACCAAGGGGAAGACAGGGTACAGGGGGACATAACCCGTTGCTGTCCTGTGTGCCTGCTGTGTGAGCTCATCAGCAGAGGAGGTCAGTGCAGTTGGAGCTGGATGCAGGTACCCATGTGGCCATCTCTCCCACCCAGCCTGTGTGCCTATGGCATGAGTCAGGAGTGCTGCTCCTTTCCCCTGCTCTCACAAGCATGGGCTAAGCTGTGAGCACACCATGCACCTGCTGGCTCACTCCCATGTGCTGTGCCCTACCCACTGCTGTGGAAGGTCTGGGGTAATACAGGCATGAGAGCAGAGGAAGGAATGCCACCTGCTCACTCACATTGTCCCCAAGCAGTTACTGTATCTCAGATTTGAAGCTGATACCAAGGTGTGTTCAGGAGAGCCTTTTTTCTTTCCTGCTAGCATCCATCTGCCATTTCTCAAGTTCCATACATAAGCAGAGAACTTAGCTTGGGATGTTTTATGTTGCTGGCTTTAAGCCTTGTAGGCCAGAGAATGCTTTTAGGTATACAAGGTATGGTTTTCTAATACTGAGTATTGTGTCACTTGCCATCACTTGATGCTTGTGTGCCATCAGGGTTCTGCCAGCGGCCTGAAAAATGTGTGTGTCCTTATTGTGAGCTGCCTTTAAAGGAAACAGAACTTCCTGCTCGGAAAAGAGGCAGGTTTGTATCCATCCTGGCTCCTCAGTGCCACAGGGTGTGCAAAGTAGGTGTATGTAGAGGCTTCTGGAGAAGCTATAGCATAGCTGCATGTGTGATTGCAGTGTAGCCATGGGAAGAACTCTAGCTAATAGGATTCTGGACCATTGTAATGGTGAGCTGAAATCCGGTGTTCCTGTGGTGGTAGCACTGTGCAGTCACTTGCATGCTCACGGTGACAGCTGCAATGTCATGAGTAGGTAAAGTGCACTTTGGTAGCCATGTTACTGCATTATGCTTTGAGAAGATATGGTTAAGTGCCTGACAACAATAAACAGTGGTGCTTTTGTACTGGGGGAGAGAGAACGCTCAGGGAACTTAATAGGTGCTTGTAAATGCTTCCTGCTGAGCAGTGAATTAGTTCTGGCAAGCAGATGTGGTTTTGTGGTTACAGACGTTGTTGTGGCAGGTGTCTTTGGGTGGTGCTTTTATTTAGTATGCCAAAGTATTTCTGAAGGTATAAAGCAGAGATGAACCTGGAGAAGCCATCTTTGGCAGCGACAGGTTTGCCTGTGTTTTCTGTTGTACAGCATTTCCTTTGGAAGCAAAGGATTGGTAAGAGCAGCAGGTTTTCTGTCTAGGTCACCAACTAAAATAAATTGTGCCTGGTGATTGTAAAGGGCAGTTCCTATTTGGCTGAGGTTCCTGAGGGAATAGATTAGTCTGCAGGCTAGTTGACTGCTGGACTTGCTTTGTTCCCCTGTCAAATTATATTTTACATATGCCTGGACAGACTTTATCTGCATTCTCCTACAGGCTTGTCAGGTCCAGAACATCTGCTGGTGTTTGGCAGGACGCTGATTCTCGTATTTGTATAGGACATTTGTGTAGGGAAAAGGCATGGAAATGTTTGTTCACCAGTAAATAAGTGGGTATTCCACAGGATATGCTGATAAGGCTGAGCTGAGAAAGGTATTTAAACAGTGCCTGCAAGTAGTCCTCTTCAATGCTTAGCTCAGTGTCTTCTTTGCTACTTGTCTGTGCTCTCTGCACAGTGAAAGCACATGACATCAGTACTGATCTCAGGCACGGCTGGAGGGTGGACTGTTCCTAAGGAGTGAAGAGTTGCTAGCTGAAGGGCTGCTACCTATTCTTTTCTGTTTAGTTAACCGTGGGCCTGAGACATAGCTGGTGCAAAGGTGCTCTGCTCTAAATATACCAGGACTCTAAAATAAAACCATAATCGGATTGCAGCTCTGGGCGAGCTTTTCCATCCTCAGTTATCCAAATCTTCTGGAGTGGAAAGGATTGGAGGAGACCGTGGGAGGGCCAGGGTTCACACGTCATGGGAACAGCTTTCTTTGTACTAGTGAGGAAGCAAACGAGGACTCTTCCTCCTAGGTTTCAGCGTGTTGAATGCCATGGGGTTTGTCAGCTGGGGTTTTCTTCTTCAGCTGAATGCTCCTGCTACTTGTTTCTGTCAGAAAGCTGTCCCTGGTAGGTGCAGTTCAGACATCTGCACTGTGCAAAGGGACGACTTAAACGCAACGTGAACCTCACTGGATTTGCCATTTGACTTTTTGTGTCGTACAGTGCAGAGCCACAGATCTCCAGAGTGCTCATGGTCACAGTGTGTCATCCACAGGCTTCAGAATAAATATGAGATGCTTCTGCTTTTGTTTGCCCAGCCGGTTAGAAAATACTTGACTTAATATTTGTGTAGATGCTAGAATAGTTTGTAGGGAATATCCTTGGTGTTGGCCCTGTAAATGGGCATTTGTCCTTTTTTCTCTTCATCTCTTACTGAATTCCTGCGTTTCCTTACTGACTGGTCTGCAGCAGGATAGATCACAGTGTCAGTATGTCTTAGCAGTCTCATTTACTATTTGAAACTGTGAGGTGAGTTGCTAAGCTTTGCAATTTAGGGGAAAAAATGCTAGAGGGCAGTTAGTTTCACATTACCTCGGGGCATATGTTTCATTTGTGCCTGTCAGGAAATGCAGTTTACCAGAGACTAACAACACAATTATTTGAATAGCTCTTAAATTCAGAACTTGGTCATGGCTTGCAGTAGAGGACAGCAGATGTGTTTTTCCCCAGATGCACATAGGTGGCACTGTTGATCTGCAAATTAATACCAGTATGCAGAAGGTGGCTTTCTAGCAGTTTCTCAGACGCTTAAAATTTGGGATATTCGGAAGTGCTGGCTCTGGGTGCTGTAGATTTTGTGGGGATCCTGCTGTTTGCACCCTTTGTCACTAACTGTCCTACCGGCTGCTGCAGCAAACTTCCCCTGATTGCTCCCAGATGGGATGCTGGGGATACTGCCTGCTTCCAAACATCTGTTTGTCTCAGTGCCCTTTAAAATGAAAACTTTAGGAAGAAAAGTGCTATCTTCTGATAATCCTTGTGAGGATTCATTTGTGAAAGCAAATGGAACAGGAAAGGTAATTAAATGAAGTTACTGTAGCTGGTGGACTTTTGTAGCACCAGCATTTTTACCTTGTTCAGGTATGAAGGCAAAAAGAGGTGTCTAAGAGGAGGTTCCCAGGCGTGGCAGAGCCTCTCTGGGGAAGGTAAAACCTTGGGGAGGAACTGGAAAAGGAAGAAGGTGGAGCAGAAACAAGCTGGGAGCAAGGAGGGACGGGGCTACGTGTACATCGTATGCTGAAAAGAGGGAAAAGCTGTCAGAGAACTGCTGAACAGCGAAACAGTTCTTTAATATTCGGTCAAACTCAGAACTGTTGTTGCAGAATCTGGACTAACAGTATTTTTCTTATCCTTGTTGCCCCTCAGTGTTCAGGACAAAGACGGAGTGCTGGATCCTGTAGCTATCCCTCGGTTCATTCCAGAAATCACAATTGGAGGCGCTGAGTACGATAAAATCTATTATGAATTTCGATCGGTGAGTAACCCTGGAAAGGGAGCACGTGTCCAACAGCCACACGACAGTCCCTGCAAAAGTGTGAGTGCATTCACCACTGTCCTGTGCACAGCCTGGGCGTTAATCTCACGTACACAGATGCACGTTTCAAAGAGCGAGTTCTGGATTTTGCCTGGGTCCCCACCTTTTTTGAAGTCTAGCTTCTACATAAGAGGAATAATGAAACAAACGGTTTGTTTCGTAAGCTGATTTTCTTTTTTGATCTTTAGATGTGGACTAAAGGATAAGTGGTTTTCCTTTGTCTTTGTTTCTCCTGCCCTGATTAGTCTCTGACCTCTGAAATCTAAAATAATCCTTTGAGTCAAACCAGAAAATTGGAAACCCATGGCGACTAAAGAAGGCTGCTTATAAAACCCTTGAGGAGGGGGTGTTTTTCTGAAGTGGGCTGAGGAGGTAGGAACATTACATTGGATCTCAGAACTGTTGTTGCTTTAAATAGTTTGTTTCTGTAAGCGGGCACACATCCAAAGCCTGTTGTGGCCCAGCACTCTCATACACCTCATGCAGGCTCCCACACAATGTTTTAATTAGCTGCTCGCCTTTCTGATTCTGCAGACAATGGCTTCCAATTGACTTAGCACTTTGTCTTATCGGTTATTGTTGTTCAGCTGGCATGGGGTCCTGCCCTACCACGCAGCATTCTCCTAAGGGCCAGGTGTTGTGAATTCTCATCAGAGAAATTGTGGCACTGATGGCAATTAAGTAATGATGATTGGACAAACAGAAGTTGCAGGTGATGGTTCATTTTCAAGTTGTGTTGAAATCTTCTGTGGTTGCTGGGTTTTTGTTTATTTCCCTAGAAATCACAAAAGGAAAGGAGTATCTGTATGAGTTGTTTCTAACCATGCAAATCATGATTTGCGCTTTGTCATTTTTCTGGTTGTGCTTGTATACAATCTCTTAATAGAATTAAAACTGTTCTGTGGGCTCATTTGGAAGCTGAACTAGCAGCGTTTTCTTCTCGAATATTCATAGGGACTTCTGAAACAACTGTTAGCAGAATTTGTTCCTCCTCAGTTAATTGCGCAGTGGAGAGGCTGTGTTCATGCTGTGCTGCCTCGTTTGAGATGTATTCCTTTCACCTTGTAAGGGGGGTTAACAATAAGGGTTAAAGCAGCAAAAAGCTGCTTGAGCTACTGTGGTTCATATGAGCTACCAGTTTTGTGCTTTTTAGTGTGACGTTTTGAATCCCAAGCTTCAGGCTCAGTCTAAGAGTTTGTGAAGTCCTTCACTCCAAGAGATGTCTATGTGTGTGCAGCACATACTTCAGAATGGCCTACTGCATGCCTTGTTGCCGGCACACAACATCCATCTGTGCTGATGGTGCCTTTCTTCCCATAGATGATAGGCTTTTTTGGCTGAAATGTCACCTAGCAGAGGAGCTGGGAGTTGCTGAGGCTGCCTGACACACAGCTAGGACCTCAGAGCTGTGTGCTGGAAAGCAGGGGGGCTACTTCTGAAAGCCTTTTTTTTCCCTCCAGCTGTAGGACAGTACATTCCTCTCTGTGTTGGCATGAAACTGGGAACGTCCTGCCTCCTCAGATAGCTGCCTTCGGGGAAAAGTCACTTCCCTTGCAGCAAAGGGGTGCTTAGGAGTAGGTATGTGAGTACCTGGGGAAGAAAGCTGGGATTTTGGATTGCTCTGCTCGATGCCAGTTAGTTGACAGCAGGAGCCTGAGCTTTTCATTGCAAAAAACATTGCCAAAATAAAATCTCCCATCTGCAGGCGTGCTTTTAGGCCCTGATTCAGGGAAGTAGTATGGAAAGTGATAATGTCATTTGGAATAAAGAGGAGTCATGTGTGATTCACAAAGCGTTCTGTTAAATCCAGACAGTGCCGACTACTATTTATTTTTTTCTCTTCTGGATACTTAAACTCTTGTAAGCCCTCAGGCACGGGGAACGTGCACAGTGGAAAAGATGTGAAGCATTCACCTAAGCTACTAGAAAGGTGAGCACAGGGCCAGCCCCACGTGCTGTTTAATGTTCTGAGAATCCAATTATTTGTGCTGAAACCTAGGAGCTGCATTTTTCCTCCAACTTTGCTTAGCAGACTAAGTTGTGAGTTTCTGCTTGCTTGCATTCAGAGGTAATGCAGCACGACACCAAGCAGCACAGACAGGAGAAGCAGATGAACTGTAGACACAAGTCTTGGCTACGAGTTTGCTGGGTCTGATGGGAGGGAATCTCAGCTCATAAAGCCTCGCCTTGCCCGTGTCTGTGCACAGATGGTTGCATCTCTGCTACCACTCTTGCGTTTGAAGACATTTAAAGATTTTAGGCTCACGTGACTTGTAAATAAAGGCTTAATTATGGTGTAATTACAGAACTTGAACTTTTCCTTGTGGGAAATGCATGCTTTTAAAGTTAGAGTAATGATGTTTACCAGATAAACACAATGATTTGTGCAGGGGATTTTTCTTCCTCGGCAGTCCTGTAACTAGCTATACATCCCTGCTCATACAAATAGGCAACTAAGTGCTGTGCTTTTCAGAACTGCATGCACACAGTTCATGCTGCCTAATAACAGTGGTTTTCAGGGATTTTCAAATTCCAGGCAGAAGCTGGGTTTTGTTCAAAATATTAATTAGTCACAAGCAACTGAGGAGGAGGAGGAAAGACTTCTCAGGGAATGAGATTTGAGTACATTTTCCTTTCCTCAAAATCGTGAGGTAACCACATACAGCTCTGAACACCATGGGATTGCTTTTTATGTACATCCTCTTAATTTCTTCTGTAAATGTTCTTTTTGTATGTGAGGAGGTGGCTTTCTGCCTCTTCCTCTTACTGTGGAGTCATCTGGCAGGGCTCAGACGTTCTGTTCAGGCATTCATAAACTTCTAAAGATGCTTTTCTGGCACAGGAAAAGTAACCTTCTAGTCAGGGTATGTAGATCAGAGATAAGCATGTTCATTCTTAAGTGAAGCAACATTATTTCAGGAACTGTCAGACTAGTAAAGGCTTGAATGCTATGGGTTTTTTGTTTTTTTTTTTCCACAACTGCTGTATCTCTGCACTTTCTTCCAGCCGTGCACAGAACCACAGACAGTGCTCCAAGCTCCGTGTGCGCCATGTGAAGCTGGAGCACATAGGCAGATGTGTTTGCAGAGAAGACAAAACCAAATGGTTCTGTGTAATGGAATCAGTGCACTTAAATAATGTACTTTTGTACTTCATGCTCCCAAATCGTGTCAGCAAGTCCTGCCTCACTCTCCTAGGGATGGTGAAAAGAGGATTTGTTTAGGTGCATGCTCTTTGCTGTCTATATAAAAGTGCAGCTGTCTGAGCTTCATAGTCAAACTGTCACCTACTTTTTTACCTCTGAAAACGAAGCTGCAGAACTTTACAATAATGGTTACATTGCAGACTGCAGGGAAATTATCAATATTTCCTTTACCCAATCTTTGTATTTGAAAAGACAGTGAAATAAATTAATGAGGCTGCTGCTTATGGACAAGAGTTTGGAGTCGAGGGCTTGCTGGTGTTCACTTACATATCAGAGTGGAGAATTTTTTGCTATAACAGGAAAGTTAAGTATTTAATATCTGATCTTCTTTCCCATGTCATCATATCTAATTAAAGGCATGCGTGTTAGCCCACTGGCTCCAACCCTGGTTTGTGCAGTCACTTTCCTCTATTTGTCCAGTGCCTTGCCCCAATGTTTTTAAAGAGTGATCTAAGAAATCCTGGAGAACAGGGCTATTTTCAGCAGAATGCTATAAAACACAGCTTGCATCCAACACTCGAGGGTTTTTGTTGTTTTTTTTCCATCCTCCCTCCAGGGGGTAAGAACGTGCAGTGGGAGTATTGCATCCTCTTTCTAGCTTGCTGGGATTCTTTAAGTGCATGTGTGGGTGTGAATACTAAAGAAAATGAACAAATGCTTGGGCACATAAACTCTCTCACCACAAGACAGGTCCATGCACCTAGAAGTTCCTTTTGTAATAAAGCAGATCTTTTATCAAAATGTTTTTTATCTTTTGTTAGCCGGAGCGATGCAACTGGAAGAAAGTCAGGGATGTGTGCCTTACCCTTGGAGCAGGCAGTTTATGAAGAATTCTTTGAAGAATTTATTCCACACTCTTGAACTACCTTCAAAGATGCTTTCTATCACAATATGAGTTCGGGCTCCAGTGAGTGCGTGTGCATAAGGCTTGCTTAGAACAGTGTTAGTCGTCAGCTTCCCATCTGAGGCATCCTCTTGCTCCTGTACTGAATTGGTGAACCCTCTGCTCCTCTCTCTTTACCCACATACTGCTTTTCCCCACCGTGCAGTGCCTGTTTGCTGATCCTGGGGATCCCTTCAGCTTCCATCCGGTGATTTCTTGCCTTGATCATTCCTGTTCTCTTCCAAACCAAACTGTGCGATGTCCCTTTCTGTCATGAGATGAAATTTGCACTCTCGCAGTGTGTGAGGAAAGCAGAGACAAAAGTATTGATCCTTCAGCTATCCCTCCATCCGCTACACTCCTCACATTGTGTTTGTCTAGTCAGTGCAGCTCCATATTGTGTGAAAGCAGTGCAGTGAGCTTTACTGTGGAGATAGCTCTTGTGGGGTGCTACACACCTTGGCCTCTGGCCGGCCTCAGATTTTACACAGGTTTGTTGCAGCAATTAGTCACTTTACATATGCATATGCACACATACACATAATCTGCTCTGTGTGAACAAGTAGAACTTCACAGAAGTTATGGTTTTGGTTTTTTCCAGAATCCTGTAGCTATTCACAGTTTACTTAGTTAACAAGAGTTGGCTTCCATGGTAGTCTTGCCTTTGCAGAATTAAGGAGTTTAAGATATTCTGTCTTCTTTTTTTTCTTCTTTTTTCTATGTTTGTAATCCTATCAAAGATGGATGCCATGGTAACAATCTTCTGTTTTTCCTCTCCTGCCATTTTTCTTTTTTCTTGTCTTGCCAAACTTTTTGTTTTTTAGACCAAGGACTCCTGTTCCATTTCTCATT